AATACATAGTACATTATTAACATTGATTTGGATGGTGAAGAATGGCAATTGAAAGATTGGGCAGATACGGGAAGGGAGAAGCAAATAAGATTGTTGAGAGAAATAGATGAAAAGACGATCACTAAAATGTTAACGACATTTTCTCAAAGTGATGAAATTTCAGCATTTTCCCTCCTAATTTTATGCTTTTTTATATTATTTACTTTTTAAATTAAAAAAAAAATACTTATTGTACTTAAAAAAAAATACTATTAAAAAGCTACTCTGACTGTGAAAAAGCCACTACTGAGCTTCTCATGATGCTGTGACCCTTGTACTAGAACATTACTTATTGTTTTCAAACGTCTTCTGAGCCCATCAGTGAGGCAAAGTTACCCAGTGGGTTTTCTAGCTTTTCATAGTATTTTCAATAAAAAATATGTCTTTTTTTTTAATCTTCTTTTTTTTTTCACCATCTGCCACAAGAGTTCTGACATTTCTAGTTGACTTAGTACAGGCCATTGTCTTCTCTAAGCTTCCAAAAACCATCCTGGCAGCAGTTGGCACCACCTCTCAAAGATTTAACGTTAAATCCTGTATTATGAGTGAGTGTACCCCTTTAGGGATATAGTCTCTTTCTTTTATTAATATATTCAGCACTTCCACAGCCAGATAATGTCATGACTTAATCCTAGCTATTGGTTTGGAGGCTGGGTGGGGAAGTGGGAGTAGACTCTAATGGCTGACAGTAGGAGTAGGAGATGACATTAGAGAACTGAATTTTCCAGCAGCAATTGGGGTGACAAGATTGCTATACAATAGAAGCCAACTGGCAGTGCTTAACCACATGTTAACAAGTTGGGTACAAATATTGTAATGAGCAGCAAGGTCAGAGTGGCAGCCAGAGAAACATGACATTCAAATGCTATAGAGTTAAAAAGAACACAGAGTTCTTAGGGGCAAGAGAGATGGGCAGCCAACAATGATATTGCTCAATCTCTATCATCAAAATAAATCAAGAATGTGTGAGAGAGGCTAAGGACAGATATCCTAATCAAAAATCACAATCCATTGTCCAGTTTTCACATCTGGGCCAGTTCTTAGAACCAGAATTTCTTGCCTGAAGGAAGAATCAAGTGCCTACTAAGAAAGATCCTGCAACAGTGTAGAAAGGCGGTATGATCATGACTTCCTCAGTTGGTTCCAAAAGGGACCTATGACAACTTACTCAGGGAACCCCACATATTAGATCTTTGGGATGCTGCATCTAAGTTGACATTGAAACCTGGAGATCTGGAGTCCTAATGTAAGTAAGTTTAGCTCATAGTACACACACTTTGGTCCCTGGATCCCTCCATGATCATGTCTATGGTTGCCAAATGTATACTTGAATTGAACATATTTGGTAGTTGGCAGAACCTTCATATTGGTTCTTTGACTATAAAATAAGATCTATTATAGCAGGAAAAGCTATAGGTGAAACTGTTCATCTGCTAGCCAAGATAGTGGAATTAAAAAAAAATGTATCTGGGGGAAATGGCAGATACCAGTATCACTTTTAAAGACTTAAAGATGCAGTGATAGTGGTTCCCATCTAATCCACTTTCAATTCACTTGTCTGGATCCCACAAAAACCAGACAGATCCTAGAAAATGACAGTGAACAATCAAACTCAACCAAGTAGGTAGGACTCAATGTGGTATCTTTGCTGGGAAATACCTCAGGTATGTGGTATTCAGCTGCTGAGCTGGCCATATCGATCATAAAAAAATGTGTCAGAAACAGTTCACATCTACTTGGGACAGACACCAATGTATATCTATAGTCTTGCTTCAATTTAAATTAACTTGTTCACTAACTGTAATAACATAAAGAGAAGTAGCCTGTATGGATACTTCAGTCCACTATATCAATGACATCATATGAATCTTGGGTAAAATAAGCAAGAAGTGCAAGTGCGTTGGAGGTTCCAGTAACACACATGTACTCCCAAGAGTGGGAGATAAATACCGCAAAGATTTAGGGCCTGCCACACTAGGAAAATTTTAAGGGTCTAGTGGTCTTGGATAGGTTGAGAAATCTCCTCTCAAATAAAAGACAAATTATTACATCTCGACCACCCTTGCTGAAGAAGGGAGCACAATTCCTTGTAAGTCTCTTAGAATATGATAGCCTCTCTTGGAAATACTGCTTCAACTCATATATTAGATGACATGAAAAACTAGCATTTTGTGAGAGAACCAGAGCAGAAATGTTCAGGATGTGGTGCAAAAGCCCTGACACTTGGGCCAAGCAGCCTGGTATACCATATGGGATTAGAGGCATCTGTAGTAGAAAAAGATACTGTTTGGAAGTTTTGGCCTGTGATAGGAGAATCACCAAGTAGTCACCTAGAGCAAGGCCATGGAATCTGCAATGGAGACTCATACACTTTTGAGAAAAAGTTCCTGGCTGCTACTGGGCCCTAATAGAATGGAATGCCTGACCCTGGGACAACAAGTAGCCATGGGGCTAGCCTCACCTACTATGAGCTGGACTCAGTCATACTCACTGTAGTAGGCAAAATAATGTCCACGTCTTATTCCCCAGAACCACTGAATGTTACCTTACATAACAAAAGTGACTTTGCCAATGTGGTTAAGGATTTTGAGGTGGGATATTATGTTAGATTATCTCAATATTTTCCCAAAGATGCTTAAAAGTGGAAAAAGGAAACAGAGGGAGATTTGACCTAAGAAAAAGTCAGAGTGATTCAGTGTGAAAAGGACTTGACCTGCCTTTGCTGGCTTTGAAGATAGAGGAAGCGGCCATAAATTAAGGAGTAAGAGTGTCCTCTGAAGCTGGAAGAAGTAAAGAAATGGATTCTCCCATAGAGCCTCCAGAAAAGAACACAGCCATGGCTGACACCTTGATTTTAGCCCAGTGAGACCGATTTTTAATTTCTGAGCTATAGCAATGTAAGATGATAAATTTGTATTGTGTTATGTCAATAATTTGTGGTAATTTGTTACATGGCAATGGGGAATATCTACTCACCATGTCATGAGGTTAGGCAGGCCCTCCTGTAGACCATCATAAGATGAAAGTGGTTTATCTATGATCATCCACAGGCAGGGCCAGGGGACACAGTGAGGTGCATGAGAAGGTGCCCCAGACCCATGTGTCATCCATTACTATTGCACCAATGACTCTGTCTAAACTAAGCTATATACTAATAATGACATACGAAGGTCCTTTATGAACAGTTCATGA